AAGGACAATCGTATCAGGAAGATGTCATAATAGACTACAAGCCCATGGAAGATGTTTAATGTGATATTTGACCCAGCATGAATTACATATAAAACAATATTACAATATGTAATAATAACTTTAGAAACTATGCCGCAATTCTTATCGGTACAGGTCATAGGTAAGATAAACTTAACACTCTTAACACCAGGGTGGGGGAACTTTTTGGCTAAATATATTTGTACGGCATTTATAACTTAAGTAGGTGGTACAAATGACCTGCGACCTAATGTCGTACACAAAGATTGGTATCAGGAGCAGGGAAAAAAATTATATTTTCGGAAAACTTTTATTTTCGGAAAAAAAAATTATTTTCTGAAAACTTTTTTCCCATTGCTTTAAGTACCAGTAAGAATTGGCAGCATGGTTTCTAAAGTTGCTATTACATATTGTAGTATTGATTTATATGTGATTCATGTTGGATCAAATGATCCTCTAGAAATGTCCCATGGACTAGTTTATAAAAATATTCATAAATTTTTAAAGTCATATTTAAATAACATGCGTATTAATAATTATCATGCTAACAATATACTGGTCATCTTTTAAATCAAATTATGATAGTATAGGAATGTTTTCAATTAAAAAAAGTAATTCAGCAGCATCATATTTAGCAACAATTAATTGCTCTGTTTATTCTAAACAGTATATGGAAGATAGTGTATGTGTATCAAGTTTTTATAATGACCAATATACTCTACTGAACGTTATTGCGTCTATTTGTTCTATTTACCATCTTTGCGAAATTAACTTAACTTAAACATAATATTAGACAATATAAATTTTAAACATTCGTAATTTTCTCCACAATCACTTCATTTTATTCCTATCTGACTCAAAGAGTTATAGAAAGACAAATGTTGGGAATATCGTTGAGAGATAAAAAGAGGAACGAATGGATAAGATGCAAAACCGAAACAACAGACGCTGTCGAACATGCAAAGATATCAGGATGGAAGATGGAATAAAGAAATTTGCCGCTGGAGACCATATACTGCAAAAAGGTCAAGAGGTCGACCGCAAATGAGATGGAAAGATGACATTGAGCAAAGCGCAGGTCCAATGTGGAATAGACAAACACAAGACAGAGACAAATGGAGACAAATGGAGACAAATGGGAGAGGCCTATATTCAACACATGAATAGATTTTGAGCTATAGATAGATAGATAGATAGATCGTGTTGACCGTCTATTTTGATTAGCATGAAACTTACGATGCCATTCAATAGCTCATATGTTTTATATTCTATTGCTATGACGCTTCTTTTCTACGAAATTTTCGATTTTTTACATAATTTATGATTTCTGCTCTGACTAATTAAATTACTTGTGTGGCCCTCCTCTCTTTTAGTGAGTCCAAGCATTGACTCTTAATATTTGTGCAATGAGTCGTTGAAGTTCGATAGTATTTAAATCCATCCATCCAACTAATACTAGCAACACGATGTCGGTTTTTTATCATGAAGTTTTCGTGATTTTTTATATCAAAAATACCTTCTTGTATTGCTTATTGTTACATATTATTATCCATATTAGACTGAGTTAAATATCCGAATTGCAAATGCAAAGTTTATACCATCAATGATTTAAATAACTAAATTATTGATTGTACAAGATAATTTATAAGAGTTAAAGGTGTAGAAATGATTTGGACGAACGCTCTCATTTCAATTATTATCAGGATTGGTGTAGGTATTAGGGAAAAATGGCGAAAAACAAAAGACACACCGGAAACGCAGCAGATAAGCGCGGGTCAGCGAAAGTTTCCGTTTCTATTGAAGTCCAACGATGTGTAACATTTCAGCATCCGTTTTGAATAAAGTTTTGTGAAATCACCTGATTTAATAATGCGTTACTTTTATGTGTCGAGGTTTATTGTATTCCATATGTTATTTGGTCACCGTCCCCGATATTTCATATATTGTAATGAAATAAGTCCAGTCTGTGCGCAATTCTTTGAAATTTGGTAAAATATACTAGCCACTAGAATATTTAGAAATAAAAACTAGCTAAGCCAGGTTCGGAAATTTACTGTACAACAACTACACAATCGAGACTGTTTACCTTTACCAGCGCATCATCACTTAAATCAAATGAAATAAGTCGAGCCATTTATCGTGTTTCGATTACAAACGAATTGACTGATTCCTTAATACAGGGGCCGTTTTTTCATTAAGACAATACAAAATGGTATGGTACAGTAACATGTTAGGGATATCCGACTCGCTTAATGCTAACATTTTTGTCCACCAACATTTTAACGCATGTCCCTAAAGTTTTTGGAGAAAATAAATATGTATTTTCTAATTGTAAAGTAAGTTTAGAAATTGTTCTTTAGGTCTACATATATCAGGTTTATTATGTATTTTAATAGAACAGAAAGAGATCCGTGATCTTTGATGGCACGTAAATTTGGTCTTGCATGTGCAATAGGCTTTTGTACTGCTTCTAAATCTCACGAAATTTTTGCAAAATTCTTCGCCTTAGCTGATCTTGATCTTGGGCTTCCCAGCCATTATTCGATTCAAAACAGCCCAAAACTCTTCTATAGGCCTCACCTGAGGCACATCTGGAGGTTTGTCGCGCTTGGGAATAAAATTTATATTTTGAGCAGTTAATCAATCTGTCGTTCTCCTGGCGTAATGGCATGACGCTAGGTCGGTTCAAAATATGATTTCATCATTGGGGTGATGAGTATTTATAAATTGAACAATCTTTATAAGACACCTGTTAACGCAATTATCAGCATTGAGAGCTTCACTGCGAACACGCAGTTCTGATATGGCACACCATACCAAAATTTTATCGACAAATTATCGACATATACTCCGGTATACTATCGATTATTCGTCCGGTGCATCTTGTAAATTGCGTGTATAAAATCGGTCGTTACCCTTCATTTCGGAATTGGAATTTTTCGAAAAATACTTTTTATCATCAATAATGAGAATTTTACCAGGAAAGTGAATACGTCTCAGTGCACGGCAACATCTAGGAATTTTTCTAACTGGACTAGTGTGTACTTAGGAGCTTTTTTTCTTTTATATCGTTTTAAATTATTTCTAGAAATTGTTCTACTTACAGTTATTTGTGAAACATTATATCTTCGGCCAATATTTTGCAATGACTTTCATAATTGGTTCTCCATACTCTGAATTAATCTCTGTTTCCGAGCAGGAGTTAAAACTCTTTGTCTTCCACTTTTGGCAAATTAAGGCATGGTATATCATTTTCGCACTCTTTAATTGTATGGTAAATCGTTGATACAGAGATATTTTGAACACTAAAAATTCTTACAATATCACGTTTTGCTATGTCCAAACTAAACGACAAATACTTTGACGAATATTAAGTTTGTACGACATCTTAATGAACCGTATTTGTCAAAACCGACATTGTGTTTATTGTTTAAGTTGTTTACTAACTTTGGTTTCCAATGGCAACTTGATCCAATGCTTCCTACCAATAATACTTTTAAATCTAAAATTTTCCGAAAACTTTAGGGACATATGTTACTCGCTGTTCTATTTATTATCTTCCAATCAAACTTTTAGAATGCTGCTCATAATATTTATGATTACCAGAATTGATGCTTTTCACAACATCTTTAGGAACAGACCCCAATTTCAGATTTTCCGACCATAACAAAATTTGTCGGACACTTATAGTCGTGCCTTAATTTGCATATTTAACTATAAATCTAACAAGAAAACACTGAAAACTTTCACTTCCACTGTTCTCATATCTTCCACAAAGTTTATTATAAATTTTTTATTATTAGAGTTGTTTTTAGAGAGTGCCTTTCTGCTGCAGTGATAAGAAAATTATAATACATTTTGTGGAAGTTTTAGAAACAAAAGTTTTCAGTGTTTTATTATTAGATAAAAATATATTTCCTTCAAGTAACGGTCGAATCCATCACCTAACTATAAATCGGTATGAAAACTATTATTATATCTTCTTCTTCTTTCAATACCCTGTCCGATTATCGAACGTTGGGCTCTAAATCGAATATCGAACGGCTCTAAATAAATTAGCGATAGTTTCTTGATACCATTGTCGAATATTTCGGAGCCAGGATGTTCTTTGTCGGCCTGGGCCCTCCTTCCGGTGATCATACCCTGTATTATGAGGTGTAGAAGGTTATACTTCTCTGGATGTCTCATAACATGACCGAAATGTTGTAACTTTCGAATTTTTATTGTTTTTATTATTTCTGTGCTCTTTTTCATTCGAAGTAAAACTATTTCATTTCTTATTCGATCAACCCAACTTATCCGCAATACTCTTCGATAAATCCACATCTCAAAGGCCTCCAATTTTTTCATTAATGTCTCTGTAATACCATACGCTCTGATGTTCGTTGGTTGTAACTCCGTTTTGCTGACAACCAAAGTTTTCTCTTAGAATAATTAAGTTTTAGCCCATATTCATCACATGCTTCGGTTACGCTGTTTATAAGTCGTTATTCTTTATTGGAGGCAATAAGTACAGTGTCGTCTGCATATTTGAGATTGTTGACACTAATTTCGTTGATTTTAATGCCTGTATCTTCTGCTGCTTACGTCGTGTTGTGTCCTACTCGCATGTTTGCACATTGATGCCATTACAAATTTTTGATAATACGGAGGTCTTGGTCATCAATTCCCACCTATAAGTTTGTTATGGTTTATTCTTGACTTTACTTACTTACTTTACTTTACTTACTAAAAATTTTCAATACATGACTCATCAGGCTAATAGTGCGATGATCGCTACACTGTTTGGCATTTATTTTTTTTCGATATGATTACAAATGTTGACAGTAGCCAGTCAGTTGGTATATGTCCTGTTTCGTATATTTTATTAAAGAGGCTTAGAAGAGAATGAATATATTATTATATAAATGAATTACTTTTAAATGAATTAATATAAATTGGTCTGAATTTGTTAAAACTAATTTGTTTTCTTTTCGTTTCAGATCCACGCCAGTGGAGTGAAAATCACGTAGCTCATTGGTTACAATGGGCTGCTAAAGAATTTTCTTTAGACTGTATACCCCTAAATCAATTTAGGATGAAGGGCAAAGACATTTGTGCGATGGGCAAAGATGCGTTTTCCGCAAGAGCCCCTGCATTTGTTGGCGATATCTTATGGGAACATCTAGAGCTACTTCAAAAAGGTAAATGTTTTCATAATTATTGGTAATGTACGTAAATCACTTAACTAACGACTCACACCTATTTTAATGGCTTAAGTTAAAGGGAAATGTCATGGAAAGAACGTGTAAACAAAAGACTGTCTGACCTTATCGGATACGAATAATTTTCTATGGGACTACCATTAGTGATAAGTTTATACCAACCTGTGCTTACTTGCCCGTTAAGATATTGAAATAATCATTAATTTTTTATATAGTGAGGTCACTATCATTCATATTAATTTATTATCATGGCACCCTCTTTTCCTTGGTGATTTATAAACATTATACAACAGTACAAAAAATGGTTTCGTCTATTTATATTATACTCACAGAAAATAAAATTAACAAGAAATTGCATTCATAATGAGGAAATTAAATCTGTAATACCAACCTTCAATTAAAATTGTTACGGCTTACATTTTTCTATTCTTTTCTAACCAAACTATCGACAATTGGGTTGGAAGCGTTGGTCCAATTTGTAGATTTGTTAAAAACCAACTTATACTGGTGCAGTTGTCAGAGATTTGATCTCTACAAAAGGAAAGAAGAAGCTGAATTTTGCTGAGAATATCAATTTTGGCTTTGGGACCCCAAAAAATATGCAAAAATGTTTATCACTCTTCCCTTTAAAACCCCCTTCGTAGGGCTTTCTAGAAAGTGACATCGTTTACGGCAAAATGCAAAAATTTTGGACGAAAGCTGCACTCCTCATCTTCAAAACTCGTTTTGATTTTTGTCGATAGGACACTCTGATCAAAAGATATTGAATTTTTACCGTTAATTTGATACAAATTTTATTAAAAAAATTGATTTTACGCCCGTAACAGACATTTAAAATCGCCGGCCGCTTCAAGCGTTGTTTCTGAGATAACGGGTCATTCTACAGAAAAAGTGCTAATAAACATTTTTTTTTTGAAAATTATCCCAGCTACATTTTTAGTTTGCAGTTGTTTTTTCTACGGCGCGGCGTACAGATTCATGGTAAATTGATGTCCCCCATTCGAGGGAGGATTTTAGCGTGAAGCCGGCGGGTAAAAATGACAAACTTTTTTGCATGTTTGTAGGGTCCCAAAATTGACATTCTCAACAAAATTCAGCTTGTTCGTACGATTTTTAGAGGTGCAGTGGCATTTTCGTCTGTTGCGACTGGAGTATGATAATTTAATCCGTTATTACAAAGAAGCGGACTTATGAGCTGCCTGACTCTCGACCAATACCTCTTTTAGTTTTGTTTTTAATTATGGCCACTTAAAATGATTTTTCCAATAGAGTTAGTTAGGACTGTTTCTTAACTCTTGTTTTTTTTTATTACGACTTTCCTTTTTCGAAGTATTACGTCTGTCACCGCATTAATAGATTAAAGATCATTTGTTCCCAGTATATCCTTGACTAGGACCCTGGTCCACTTTTAAACATTTTGGATTTTTCATTTGACATCCTAAGTTTCTTTTAAAATTATTCTAATCGATTCTAAATGATTCAATTCTAATCTTGCTATACATTCGTAGCTCTATGATTGGATTACACACTTGATTTAGATCAATTTTTGTATTCATAATTAATACTTCTTATTTTCTTTAGGGCTAATATCTAGCATCTTACTTATCTGTTATATCTGAAGCATGCTTGGTATTTGTCCAAAAACCATACTCGTTTATTTTGGTTCTTATAATGAGCCAGTATGTTGCAATAAGTTTTCAGGAATGCTAACCATCTATAGTTTTTACAATTTTTAAAGTTCTAAAAATCTTATTTTTGGTATGGTGCATAATCTTACTGTTGTCAGATCTTTTTGCATTTTTTCCCAAATTGGTTTTATTAGCTGGTAAATCTGCTGTTGTAGTTGTTCTCAGACTTGCAAAAGCATATCTACAGTTTCTCAAATATTCTCAGATTTAAAAGTTCTTATTTTTTACAAATTTCTTTTATCTTTGCTAGAAGTCTCTAGTTGTGTTGTGTTGTGTTGTTGTATTAATGTTTCGTCTTCTGCTCTTTCTTGTTATTTTAACAAGTTTTCGTTGTATGTTCTCCATATCTCAATTCTTTTTTATATCCCACTAATTAAATTTCAATGGTTATTTTTGACAAATAGTGTGTACTGTTAACTCAGGTCAATAATAGCAACTTTCGTGTTAAGTATTGAGCAAACTAATGTTGATTAACTATATAAGAATTATAAGCTAAGCACTGTCCATCACGGCATACGTAACACATTAAGTAAATATGCAGCCGCAACAAAACATGTTATTTTCGTCTTCGTCGAAGCAAATAACTTTTGAAATAATAATATTGCTGCATATCAAGGTAATATGCGACAATATTCTTGGTAATTTATGTTTAGTTGATTGATACAACATCGATAAGTATAAGTTTCGTATTTTTATGCAATTTACAATAGTATGATTACTTAATGATACCATTAATATATTTGGACAGGATACTGTCTACGAAATTTCTTTTGAAAGACGTAATATCTAAATCATAGGTTAAAGTTGAGGATGAAAATCTATAGATATATGTAATAAAAACTGCGGTTGTTAAAACTGCACAGTGTTTTAGTAAACTTAAACTAAAATTGATGTTACTTCACTTTTATATGGCATAATTAGATGAGCGTTTTCTTTACTTTGTGCAAGGTATCCTCTTTACATTCAAAACTGAGTTAATTGTAATAAATTAACTGGATATTGCAATATAATATGTATACCCGACCAAGTTAAATTTTATATTTACGAGAAATTTGGATCAAATATGGAAGAAAAAAGTATTGTCTAGCTAGAGAACGGTCAGATGCAATAATTGTTCAGTCCACAACAAGGGAAATCCAGGACTGTAAGAACTATAGAGGCATATCCCTATTATGTGTAGCAGCTAACCAAAAAACATTTAAAAAATACTATATAAGATGAGTAGAATGCAAATGATAAATGCAGAGATATGTGTGGTTGCAGATACTATAGTATTATCTCCAAAGCAATAGGAACACTTAAGCACACTTTAGAAAAATGGAACTCGGAAGCAACTCAGAAACATACACATTAATGTAAAGAGAAGTCACAGATAATGAAAAGTACAAGAAAAGATACATGGAAGACCTAATCGGAAGTGGTGATAGATCAACCAAATATAAATCAGGCAATCACATACAAATACCTCTCCTTCCTCTTTTTCTTCTTCTTTTTATGTAGACATAACTCTGCCCGCTTTTCAATGTGCCTACAGTAAGTTGTCGTTTCATCGTTTTTGTGGTCTTCCTACTGATCGTCTTTGTAGTGGTGAACTGTTTCTTGCCGTCTTTACTACTATATTTGTTATTTTTAGGCTTATATGATCATTCCACTCTATTTTCTAATTATTACCCAGTCCTAGATGTTCTCCATCTTGCATCTACGTCGTATATCTGTGCTTCTAGCTCTGTCCCATACTGCCTTACTATCAATTCTTTTAAGAGTTTTCATCTCTGCTTCTTCTAACATTATTTTTATCCTATCTGTGCCAGATCGTATTTCTACCGCGTATGTCAATTTTTATTTCTCCATTGTTCGCTCTCTTCACTCAATCTTCCAAATGTCTAAATCACTCGATGTTTGTCTAGATATTAAAATTCCATCACTTGTTCTAGTATCTGACCTTCCAGCTGCAATTTACATCTTAGTAAATTTACTGTTAAAACCATGCATTTTGTCTTTTTTGGGGAAATTAACATGTTCAATTTTCTGGCGTGTGTATTAAATTGTAGCATACGTTGTAGATCATTTTCACTTTGGTAAAGTAGTATTACGTCGTCTGTATAGTAGCTTATTTTTAAGTTATTTTTCTCCCATTCAGTATCCCTTTTTAGTTCTTACTTTTTTTATTATTTTATCCACGATCAGGTTAAACAATAAAGGACGAAGGGAATCTCCCTATCTTCTTCCATTACTAGCTTCAATTGGGTCAGTTAGTCCTTCTTCTTTTACTTTTATTGTGTTGTTTTGGTAAATATTTTAGATTGTTGTGATTATTCCTAGAGGTGTCTCTCTTGCGTACAATAAGTAGATAACGTCCTTTAATAGAACCTGTCAAATGCCTCCTTAGGTTCCATGAAACATAGATATGCGCCGGTTTGCTGCATGCTAATGATTTCTCCTAAACTTTTCTCATTATAAATATAGCGTCGGTGCATGATTTTTCCGACCTAAAACTTTGTTGTTCTTCTTAAACTAAAATTCTTGTGGTATTTTGTTTTGTTCTATTATTCTTTGGAGTAGTTTTAATAGTTGTTTATTTAGATCTGGTCCTCCGTCGTTTAGGGATTTCTTTCGGTATTGTGTTTTCTCGGTGACTTTGTATCTTTTGACTTCCTTAGAGCTTCCTTTTTACTTCTTCCTCTGCAATATTTATTTCTTTGTTTGTCGCCACTTGGTGGCGAAATGGTGTTGGTAATTCATTATCGTCACCTTTAGCAAATAGGAATCAAAAGTAGTCTACCCATGTTTCCTTCTGAATGTGTTTATACCTTTTCATTGTTTCGTTTTTATTAGTTCGTTTATATCTTCATCTATCTATCATCTATCTACATCTATCTTCATCTATCTATCATGTATCTATCTATCAAAAAGAAGTCTCACAAAAAGATTGATACAGCCCAACTACAAGACGAGAAAGTTACGGAATCAGTTCAAAGACAACTGAACGAAAATTTAATTTGGGAAAATATTGGTGAAAACGTTGATGAGGACTTAAATAAAATCGTAACGACAGTAAAAGAAATCTGTGTAAGAACTTTACAAGGCAGGTCAAAGCCAAAAAAGCAGGCTTGGATGACAGATGATATACTGGATTTGATGGAACAACGGCGACTAGCAAAAACCAACGAAACACTTTACAATAGCATACAAAAAGAAATTCGACGTAAAATACGAGAAGCAAAGAGTCAACATCTAGCCAAACAGTGCCATGACATTGAAGAACTCGAAAAAAGATACGACACGTTTAACATATATAAAAAGGTAAAAGAAGCGGCTGGTATCTTCAATAAGAAACAAAATGCATTGCTACAGGATGAAAATGGTAAAGTAATATTCGAAGTAGAGAACAAACTTAAAGAATGGGAAAATTATGTCACGAACCTATTCGAAGTCGATAGGAGTAGTTCACCTCCCGATATTACTAACTGCGACGGACCCCTAATAACACGCTGTGATGTTATAAAGGCCATACAATCATCAAAAGATGGCAGAGCGACTGGTCCTGATGAAATTCCAACTGAAATATATAAGCTTATAAAGGATAGCAATGTTTTAGAGGCTATAACTTCGTTTTTCAATACCATTTATACCAGCGGACAACTACCTAATGGTTGGTCTAACTCACTGTTTATAGCTCTACCTAAGAAGACAACAGCAAAAACCTGTGCTGATTATAGAACCATCAGTTTGTTAAACCACTTATTGAAAATTTGTGTATCTACAATAAATGTGAGGAATACCTGGATGACACTCAGTTTGGTTTTCGTAACGGATTTGGAACGAGAGAGGCACTGTTTGGAATGAACGTACTTGCTCAAAGATGTCGTGATTAATCTGTAGACATATACTGTTTTTTTATTGACTTTCAAAAGGCATTTGATCGTGTCAAGCACTCTATATTGATCGAAGCTCTAAAAGTCATTGGCTTGGACGGCAGAGATGTTCGAATAATTGCAAATTTATATTGGAATCAAACAACATCAGTTTTAGTAGATGGTGTGGAATCACAAGCTCTCAATATTAAAAGAGGAGTACAGCAGGGATGCCTCTTGTCACCCCTGCTTTTTAACGTTTACTCCGAAAGAATTTTCAGAAAAGCACTTTCTGAAAAACAAGAAGGAATACTTGTGAACGGCGAAGTCATCAATAATTTGCGATATGCAGACGATACAGTACTTCTAGCTTCTAGTCAAGAAGATCTGCAAACACTACTTGATAGTGTCGTTGAGAGTTGTAGGGAGGCAGGTCTGGATCTTAACATAAGGAAAACCAAAATACTCGTAATAAGTCAACAACAGAATATAAAACCGTCTATATATGTAAATAATACCAAACTTGAGCAAGTTGATAAAATCGTCTACCTTGGACAGCAATTAAATTGTAATGCAGAAAATCACGGCGAAATTAGATCCAGAATAGAGCAGGCTAGAGCTGCTTTTAGAAGGATGTCCAAGGTGTTATGTAACAGAGACCTAAAATTGGCATTACGGATCCGCCTACTTCGCTGCTACGTGTTCTCGGTCTTACTTTATGCTGTCGAGTCCTGGACTGTGAATAAAATCGATCTAAATCGCCTTGAGGCTTTCGAAATGTGGTGCTATAGAAGAATTTTAAAAGTTTCCTGGGTGGAGAAGATTCGTAACTCCACATTACTAGAACGTCTCAGCAAGACTACTGAGATCATAAAAAGCATCAAGCAGAGAAAGCTGGAATATTTCGGACATGTAATGAGAGGTCCCAAATATAGATTGCTACAAAATATCATGCAAGGAAAAATAGCAGGCAAACGCAGTCCAGGACGAAGAAGAACTTCATGGTTAAAGAACTTGCGAGATTGGTATGGTGTAGATGCAAGCATGCTATTTAGGGTGGCAGTGAATAAAATTAAAATAGCTATGATGGTAACCAACGTTCTGAAAGGACATGGTACATGAAGAAGAAGTTTATATCTTTTCTTTGTCCTCTTATTATTCTACATATTTCTTTTTGTGTTCTTATTTTACATAATTAATTATCATTCTTATTTTACATAATCATGATTATTTTTGATCAACGTATCTCTATTGGTTATAACAAAATCTATGATAGATCTTCGTCTACTGTTGTTAATAAGTGTTAAATACCTGGAAATAGTAATAGTTAACAGAGGAAGCATCGAGGACAATCTCATCAACAGTCTAGATGGCACAGGAAAACTATTCCATACACTAAACAGAGGATTACTCGGCAACAAATAAATATTAAGAAAAACGAAGATGGCAATATATATTTAGTAATATATGGACTAATCTTGATATACGGAGTAGAAAACTGGATTTTAAACAGAAGACACCAGAATAGGATACAAGCAGGAGAGATGGAATACTTTAGAATTATGATAGGGGCAAGATATGGGCAAGAAGAACAAACAGATGCAGAAATGAAGAAATAAGAGAGAGACTTAAACTTACTTTGTTGCTTGACACAATACAGGAGAAAAAATTAGCGAGGTTCAGTCATATACAACGGATGGACAGTAATAAGCAAGTGAAACGAGTGTGAGAAGCTAAACCACTAACTGATTTTGCAAAGTAATAGTAAATCTTTGAAAACACAAATGGCACAGAACGGAAAGAAAATGAAGAAAGTTCATCAAAAGCTAGATATCATTTATTGTACTTATCTGCAGCACACTAAATCTAAATAAATTTCGGTATCGAACAAAAATCTTGTCCAAGTGTCAGTAGAAACGGGAATCTCATTCGTATTGAATTGATTACATTGGGTAATGGCACAGAAATGCCTCACACAAAAAGCTAGAGGATGCTTTTAAATATTAATGTAATTACGGAAGGATCGGGATAAAAATTAATATAAAAAAAGTAACATACAAATAATTTGTACTCATGTAAATTCATTTTATTTGTCTAAAACTTGTGACCAGCTAACAACATATTTTTATTTTCAGATGTTGAAAAAGAACGAGCTCTCAATAGCCTCTATGAACCGATTTGTGTTCCAGAACTGACGTATATTGATTACACTCAATCTCCGACTGCCCTATCTGCGACAGAAGATAGAAAACCAATTACTATACATTCTCCTCCACCTCAGAACAATAACACACCTCCGAACAATAACAATTTCTTACATGAAGGTAAGTACTTAATGTTAATTTTACTTTACATTACAGTACATTGCATTAAAAATATTCAAAAAATTAGCAAATTAATTATGAACACAAAGTATTGTGATAACATTATCGATTTATTTATCGTTCAACCGCTCCTTGTGATGTATAAACGATTCCTCAGCAGCAGCTCACGCTATCCTAACACATGGGATACTCTTTTAAGTTTCGCACAGACAGTACAGGCAGTTCTGATATTTCTCAGAATGTTTATATAGCTCTTTCTTTATCCATTTCCTCGATTCCTACAATTTGTGTTACGGCTACAGTATATTGCTGTTTGCTGTTCCATGATGGACGATAACACTGCTCAACAAAAATCAACTTTTTTGTGACATGGATAGAACATGGTCTTCATTATATAATTCATATGTATAATATAACCAGAGAGCCGAAAATAAACTTGAATTTATCACCTACACTTTATTTGCTACGAAGAATTGTGCATTATAGGGGAATATATCAATTTTATTATGTTCTTTGTGGTGCGCTTGCCTTAAAATTCTGTGGTAGATGTTTTACGGCGATACTTATTTGCTGGAGCCTCACAGTATAAAGTCCAGCAGTAATCTGCCAGCAGACTAGGACTTCATTTACGTTGGTAACGCTTTTCCATGTCTACAACTTATTGGTACAACCGTTCTCCATTTTCATCTCTTAAGCACCCCAATTTTCTGGAAAAAAATTCAGATGAGCATGCAGGAGTTGAATTTTTAGAGACCTCAGCCGTGACATTACGAAAAAAATTGGACACAACTATTTTAAAAGCTCTCTCTTAAGTCATTAAATTCATCCTCTGAAATTAGATGTAGTTTTGAGGAACATTCTCTATGGAACGTTCTTGAAATAGTGAAACTTTCAAGTTCTTATTCGTCCATATTCAAAGTCCTTGGTGATTTTGGGATAGAAAGATGTTCGACGGGACAGAATAGCTGATGGTAAATAGGGTATTCTAGGAGTACGGTCGTGTGCTCTAAATCTTCGAAAGACAAGTGTAACAATCTGTAACATGGGCCGTCGGTTCTCTCAATATCACTGGTACTGTAAGACAATGTACACACTGGCAGTGCGGACCAATATTGATATCTTACTCATCTACCCATTTTCAAGATATAATTGGCGGGTATTCAAGATTAGTGAGCAGTAAACACATTTTGTTTTTAATTTTGAGTTTAAAATGCCCAAACATATTGGAAATACAAAAAAATCACCATGTCACAAAATATGTGTTGCCCTCTGTAATTTTCGTCTTGTTGCATTGACGTATAGACTCATATGTTTGCAGTTTTATACAGCTTTTTGATTTTAATATGATTTTGATAGGAATGATGTTAGTGATGTACACATTGCTGATATCAGTCTTCTTTTGTGTACAATATTTGTCGGAAATATAAATAATAGGTAGCACATTACACATTTAAAGTAGAAACTGTTCTTTTTTACTCTGTAGAAAAAAGGAAAAGAACTGAATAAACTTCACGGTCAATTAAGATGGCTATTTTATTGCCTACTGGAAAATGTTTATTTTAAAAATAAATTATAACATCGTCAATTTTTATGGGAAATTTCAAATCGTGAACATATAAAAAGAGATATATGTCACAGACTGAATAATCTTATCGGGTTTTCAGTATAGATCTCTTACTTTGGAATGTTATATACCTTTATGTAAAGTGCATTTATCTTTCGGGAAAACGCTTTTCTTTTTCATGCGAGTATTAAATCAGGATAGTTCCTAATGTCAACGGTAAAGAGGTTTAGTTTTTCTGATCACCACAGTTAGAGACTCCGAGCTGTGATATTTCTGTTCAATTAAACCTATTGGAAAATATGATAATTAGCAAAGAGCGAAATTCTGCTTTTAATGATTTCATATCTCACTTTAACATTCTCCCCAGTTTTCTTCAATCATTTCAATATCCACTTTACTGATTCCATCTCCAATCGACAGTACCGAGTAAAGAATCAAATAGAAGCCCATATTAACCTTGGCAATGTGTTTACATTTTTACCAAACCTAAGTCCATCTTTAATGATTAAAAATTGTCGTAATCATCATTATCTTTCATCATTATCTGTGTCTTTATCCCTATGCGGGGTCGGCTTCCTCAATTACACTTCTCCATAAGTTTCCATATGTTTTCTCAAGATCAATGAATACCATATGTGTTTCTTTATTCCTGTACTTTTCATTAAAATTGCAGCTGTTCTAGATCTGTCTTACATAAATCCAACCTGATTTTCGGATATCCGTCTATCAGTTACTCTCTTCCTTATTTTTATGGTGTGACAAAGTGGTTTTATGACCATGTAATTTGTGATTTGTTAAACATATCCTTTGTTTTTGTAAACAGGTACTAATAGAGGCTACATAAACTACTGTAAACTAAGTATATACGCTACTATAAGGACTTTTCCATTGCCCTATATGCCAATGTTTCGTTTGCCCAGATCCCGCCACTATAAGGAAGTATGTACTTTATATAGGATACTAATAATGATCGTAATCATTCTTCTAAATAAATGAAAAAATACTCATTAATTTAATTTCGATGTTTGAACACTATCTAAAGACAAAGTCTATATTAATCTCCCATGATTTACCTAAACTATTAATTTGTTAGCACACGCAATATTTTATTCTCCATTTTGTCACGCTTTTAACCAACCAACCAACGATTTGAATTTCATAAATATCGCAAAAGTGCACGAAACAAAAGATGTATATCTCTTCCATCATCATATATATGTATATACGAAGTTATTAAACGAAATTTTGCAATTAAAAATTGTCGGTTACGGCTTGCCGATTCCGAAAGTTTTGCCGTTACTTAATCCAGGTTAATATGTTAGTACTTTACTTAAACGTGTATTTGTCTGGCTTTGGTAATGAATAATGGAGTGCAGCCAACCATTTTCCGTGTTTTTTGGAGATTTTGAAATACGATTCTCATGTGGAGAATTTATAATGACGAAGAGCAACTTTAAATAAGGATTCTGAAGTTGTAATTACTGCTTGTTTTTATTTTCTGTTTTATAGTTAAGTTAGATATATAAATAAATAAAGATGTGCTATATTGTGATAACGTAAGAATCAAGCTTTTAAGTTTAATTGGTCTAATTATTGAGCGTTCACGTTTATATTATTTTTTTATTAAGTAAAATTTTATTTAACTGAGTTTCTACCTTCTTACTCCAAATTTTAATATTTAGTACAACTTTGTCTTTCTTTATATTTCTCGAAAGATAACAAAAAATGCAGTACAGAATTGCAGTACAGAATAAAAAAATAGAATTAAGAAATTGGAAAAAAAATGTGCGATAGAATATATAAACTAGTGGATCAAACATAGGAATGAAAGACAGAATGGAATCAATATATAGAAAGAAAGAAACAAGATCTAAGAATATAACAATTTTACTCGATTTCTGCGCTGAGCTTTGCATTAGCTTCTAGGATACTTATTAAACTGGCAAATTGCATTTAAAAATCAATCAAATTCAGAGACATGCACTGCTTCAGCGTCTTCCACTAAATCTTCTTTGCCCGACCTCTCTTATTGCTTTCAGGATCTGCAACTCAACAATTCTTCATATTGGGTGATTACCATTTCTACGATGAACATCTTAATCTAAGCTTCTCCATTCTGGTATCAATTAGTGCCACTCCTACACTTTCTCTAATATATCCATTTTTAGTTTTATCCTTTTTGTCATTGCACTTATCTATATAAGCGTTTTGGCCAAATCATTCAGTTGAATAAATTATAGCTGGTTTGATGGTAGTTTTGTAGAATTTCTCCGTTTAGTTCTATCAGAAACTTCTATACAAGTTACCACTCCCTCCTTCTAACCTCCTCGGCGAAGACTACAATATGCGTTTCTAACTATTTTTCATTAGTCTGTAAAGCCAATCCCAGATAGTTAAAACTATTACTTTTTACAGTCATTCCAACATGCAGTTATCTTCTTGTTTGTAAAAGTTACTTCATTTAAATTTTTTTCTTCATGTACCATGTTCTTTCAGAACGTTGCTTACCATTATAGCTATCTTAATTTTATTTACTGCCATCAGAAATAGCATGCTTCTGTCAATAATCTCTCGCAAGTGCTTCAACCATGAAGTCTTTCTGCGACCTGGGGACTTGGACTGCGTTTGCCTACTATTTCCCCTTGTATAGTTCCGAAAACTGTCTCTTCTTTGAGTACCGTACCCAAGTTTTAGGCGTGGGTAGCTTCCATGACGATATGCCGATATCGTTCTCTACCTTGTGCGGTATGTAATAATTTATCTGCTGATAAGCCAGTCCATTGACGAAGGTTTCGGAGCCATGAGTATTTGTTTCTACCAATTCCTCTTCTTCCGTCGATCTTTCCGTTAAGTATCAACTGCATTATCCTGTATCTGCTTCCTCTCATTATATGCCCCAGATATTCGAGTTTTCTCTTTTTTATCATCTTTATTAAATCACCTTTACCTTGACCTACTCTGTTCAAGACTTCGAAACTGTATAGTTTTCAGAAAATAAAAAATAATTGTATCATTTTAGCTAATGTATATTAGGTTAAATTTTATGGTAGAGTTGAGCAGTTTTTAGAAACTGTATAGTTCTTGTGATCTTTGTGGGGTCGATGAGCATTTCGTAAGTTTTTAAGTAGGTTTTAAGTCCAGTTTTAAGAGTAGGTTTTAAGTCCAGTGCATTATACAGGTTAGTGAATTATTTACATTACAGTCTGTGAGGATGTTTGACAGTCAGGTAAACATTGCAATGGTGGCAAGTTGGATGAATTTCTGAGGACATCAAGAAACCATGGGCAAGTTTGGTGTGGTTGATTCAGAGTCTTCTAATAATCGATTCTTCTCTTCTAGTTAGCAAGTCCAGGGAAACATGACGAATAAACGGTTGGAGTTCACAAATAGTTGTTTTGCTCTTGTGCGATACGCTTTACCAAGTATGCTCTACTGATTTTTTGAAAACGAGTTTGAAGTCATTAGCTACTTGAATTGTGGCGACTCCAATGCTGCGGTTGAGTGCTTCTTTGTTGAAAAATAATATGATTTTAATGATTACTATTTCTATGAAATATCTCAATAAAAAATGGTTGAAAGTAATTTAATAATTAATTATATAGATTTTTCCCGTTTAATTGTTTTTACTTATATTGTCATTTTTATCGAAAATCTTATTTTTTTTAAGCTACAATCACCTAACTTATCTAATTTACCAATAGTATTGAATATACCCCTAGAAGTTTTGATTAATATTTTTGGTTTGATTGTGATTAACTTTTGCATGTTTTTGATTGATTTGTGATTGATTTTATTGACATCATAACAAATATCGCTAATCGAATTTATAGTTGATAATTGGTTTTTATTATTAGTTAGCTTAAAATATGTGCCATACCATTTTTATTAAGAAACTTAATTGCATTATAGGTTTTTTCTGTTTTTATGCGATTTCAAGGTATGTCACGCGTTGTTGGTCAGTGTTTCGTCTTTTATTGTTATGTTTTGTAAGGATTTCTGTAATTATTAGTGAATATATAATTGCGTTCCCCATTTGAATTACAAATTCACTAGACAATCAAACCGAATGCAATGATTTTTATTTTGTTTGTCTAATTAAGGAACAAGTTTTTGTTGTTTTTACTAGACGACAATAAAGGGATAAGGCAATTCGGTAATAAGTTTGTATGTCACATTGACATAATATTCATTACATGTCTTATTAATTTATAATATTAACCCTTCGGTACACGGGTGATACTTTGATACACGTAAGAACGGATTGGGTCTGAGAAGCCCAAAAATTAAACTAAGAATTTTTTATGTTTAATTTTGTAACAACAGGTTTGCGTTGCATATATTAGAACTACTACTAAAGACAACTTAAATACAATAAAAGAAAATGAACTTTTATTATAATAATAAAACTAAAAATATAAAAGAAATTACGTACTAGAATATGGTCGTATGTATGTATGTTTAAAAAACACCTTTTGTAAAACTTATTCAAGTAATTTTATCAATGCATATGCGACAAACAGGTACGGTATGTTCCAAGCCAATAAATTTTTTACAATAGTGACACATGTATCGAATTTTACGCTATTCTACAAAAAGCACAACGCCCCCTTTTATTTTGCAATTCGGCAGGTGCTTGTACTGGTCCAACACCACCGAGTTTAGCAGCAAGCTCTCTTATATCTCGTGTCAAATGAGAAGATTGAGCTCTTTCTTTTATATTGTCCATTACTAACTAAATACCTAGTTCTTTTATGGACCAACGTTTTGTATTTCTTGCGATAGTATAGGAACCTCGAAGTTGATCAACCGTGTCCATACCACCTTTTCTAGAGTTATAGAACGTTATTACTTCAGGTTTACTTTCGTCACCCGTTGTCGGATCGATTTGGTCATCATGGTGTAGGGTTGACAAAAGGGTAAACAACATGTTTATTTGGTTTTGGTATATAGGATAATATCGTCATATCTTTGGTAAATCCAAACATAGTTGGTTTTGGCGGTCTATTGTTCAATAAAAATTAGGTTGGGATATGCCTTTTGTTTTTCCGTAGGGTGCCTACAATTGTTAGACTATGATTTGTCAGTAAGTTTTGTGTGACTTCAATTGATGGATATGAGATTGGTTTGCAAAGCTGCTCAACCAAATCGTAGGCTGCAGAACTAATAGAATATGGGGTAGTGGTGTACCGGCATATATTTCTAATTGATAAGTATAGAAAGTGCGAGAATCCACGAAATAATATATCTTCAGACCGTATCGGTCTAGTTTGTTTGGAAGGTATATTCTAAAACTACAGCGACCTCTAAAGCCTAAAAGCATCTCATCGATAGTGACATATTGCCCAATGGTATAATATTTTTGAAAACTTTCAACTACATCCTCGAATACGACTCTAACTGCTGCAAGTTTGTCTACTTGTTTCCGTTCGTCCCTTGTACGAATATCATCTAAGCGTAAGCACTTCATAAGAAATTAATCTGCGGTGAGCCATCGTTGCCGGAAATATGTTAATGCCCGTACCATTTTTTCCCAAACCTCAAAAATTGAAGTTCTACCTCTACGGTAAACTCCAGCTAAGTAAGCAGGGCAATCAGAGCTTTTAGTCCACATATATATTTGTTAACCTCGCATCGGAACTGTCCTTATATCTTTTGGACACACGCTCGATATATACATTAGTACATTCAACAATATGTTTTATAATTTTGTCATTAAAAAACAGTTTCCAGCATTCCTTTTCAGTTGTGCAACTTTTTGCTTCACGAATAACTTCAGGAAGTTTTGTGATGATATTTTCTCGTCTCGTTCTAACATTTCGTGATCCGTATGTCTTATTCCATTTCATTAAATCTTTGGTATTGTAATAAAGGTGTTGGTTTGACCCACCTTGTGGAATACATTCTTGTAAGTTTACTTCGGTGTCTGATAAATCGCATTCAGACTCTGAGTTATGCTTACCATCTTCTCCCTGGCGCAGTCCGTTATTTGTTTTAAAAGGTTCAGACAGTTCCCCCTGAATTCGTACTCTATAACTTTTTTAAGAGTTAGTTTTGTTAAATTTACAAACTGATTTGGTATTTCATTGCTTTGAACATTTGTCTTCTATTAACAGAGTTGTTCGCTGCTTTGTAGTATGTAAATATGTGATGAACATAATGAGGTCAGATGACTCTTAAATTACATAATTTGAGTAACGAACATTATACTTCTTAAGGCACTAGGTTGATGATAAAGGATAACATTTTTTAAAGAAACGTACAATTTCCCATCTCGAGAAAGAGGACATTGCGCCCTAAGAGGTAACAACCAATTCGGAGTGAGGGGTATGATATTATCTCTGGTTGTTGTATTAATTGTATGCCTATTGGAGTCATTACATGCTCTATCATGCATGATTGAGATTAGTATTGTAGCTTTATTTTTCATCAAGTGAGTTACCGTTGTGTTATTTTATGGATAAACCATGATTATAACAAATATGCGATGTCCCCAACAAAACAAAAAATCGTGGTGTGTTGTTCAACATACTAGTGAAGATGGGAGATGAAGTAACGTACCTGTCGCAGAGTTATCTATATAAAGTGTTAGGAATTGTTTATGCGGTAGTATGTCACACGGCACGTTTTCAATTAAGGTATACAAAAAAATAACCCTTTCATTCTAGCACGAGCCGTGTCAGTCGAAGAATTTTGATCGTTATTTTATAGAAAAACTTATCACCATGGATGAGTACCATACAAGAACACCCTCTTACAAAATTAAACCTGAACATCATTCTACTGAAGATGAGATAAGTCTTATCTAAATTGTGTGGCAGTAAACAATGTCACAATGTCTCAAAATTTATCTTTGTCCCGTAGGTTACAACTACACTTTCGGAGATTAAAAGAAATGGCAACTGAAAAACAAGAAAGAATATTCAATTTTATTTCAAAGAATATCGTAACACATTTTAAAAGTAATGGATGCGACGCGAATATTCATTAATTATTTTTTGTAAATAATTATATAGAGAAGAGCCTTAAAATAGAAAGTAGGATATGTTATTGAAATTGATATAAAGATTATTAGTTACAATTCTGCATAATCTGGATAGTTGATAGATAATTAATATATTTGTGGTGCTAACTGTTTAATGTAATGGAAACTGTTTTTTAATAACATACACAAAACTCATGTTCTACACATTTATGGAGAAGTAATTAAAAGTTGGTTTATAGATATCTAAATGCTTGTTCCAAATAAAACACTGTGATAATAATTAATACATGATAAAAATTAATTTTTTTCTAAATTATCACAAAGCTTCTTATCGAATATTTCTCTCGCCCACACTGCATGCAGTGTTTTTGTTAAAATTAGAGATATGTAACAACTTTTATCTAGGTATGTTAACTCGAGGTTAAAATGTTGCTGTAGGATGAATACAGAACTCATTAGATGTTAGTCAGTATTTTGGCGTATAATTATATTAATTATATTAAATTAAATAGGGTATAGGGATGTTAAAAAGTTGCAAAATTGAAATGGAGATTTGCCGGACACAATATAAGACAAAAAGAAGACCGATGGAACAAAATTCTTATAAGTTGGAGACCGTGGGAATATAAACGAAGCAGAGGAAGGCCCCAAATGAGATGGGCAGATGATATCAAGAAGCACGTGGGCTCTAGATGGATGACTGTAGCGACAGACAGAGAAGAATGGAAAAGGATTGGGGAGGCCTATGTCCAAAGATGGGCCGAAGAAGGCTAATTAGATAGATAAATATGGTATTTATATGGGTATGAGATTAAACCACAATTGATTGTAATAAAAATTACATTTTACGTTTGTTTTTGACGTTTCAAGTTCCTCTCCGGAAATCGTTTTCAAAATCATCTAAATATGAAGGTCTGATATACTGTTGACCATCTACGTCTGAATTCACTTTAATATTCACCCAGCATTTGGTCGAAATATTGAGTGGGTATTGAGAAATTATGTTGAGTACTTAAGATAGTATAGTTATTTATGGATTTCATCTGTTCCTGGCGATTTGTTTTGTAATTTTTGGACTCATTCGCTTGTTTCCATGTAAGGTTCTCTATTTGTGTATACAGCCCTTGTTGTCCAATTTTGGACATATGCCTCCTCTTCCTTCTTCCACGTCTCTCTCTTGTAGGCAGTTTGTATCTACTTCGGGCCTGCGTGTTTCTTCAAGTCAACTGACCATCTCATTTATGGCCTTCCTCTTTTTCGTTTGTAACTATATGGTCCCCAGTGTATAATCATCTTCTTCCACCTGTCGTCTTTCTGTCTTATGGTATGTCCAGCGAACGTCCACTTAAGTTTTGCTATCTGCGTTGATACATCGGTCACTTTTGTTTTGTTGCGGATCCAAGTCTTTCTTTTCTTGTCTGATAGCTCGATGTTCAGCATTTGCCTTTCCATGGCTCTTTGGGTCTTTGCTATTTTTCCATGTTTTTCTTTTTAAACGTCCAAGTTTAAGAACCATAGGTGAGAACAGGAAGTATACGTTGGTTGAAGACTCTTGTTTTTAAATATTGGGGGTATTTTCTATTTTTTAGTATATAGGAACGTTTCCGAATGATACTCAAGCCAACCGTATCCTTCTCTTTATCTCTTCGATATGATTTTCTTTATTTAATTTAACTAGTTTTCCCAAATACATACATATTCTTTTACTTGTTCTATAGTTGTTTGTTCGATTGTAATTATTAATTCTTCTGGTTTGTTGATCATAATTTTCGTTTTATTATAATTCATTAGTAGACCTATTTTTGTTGATTTGCTGTTTAATTCACGTAAGGTTCCGTATTCACTGTAAGGTTAGTAGCTCAAATATGTTCCGATTTAGGCCAGAGTCAGCACTATCTGCATGGAGCATAATATGTAGGATATTATCCTTTCACTTCTTCTTCTTTAAGTTCCATCTTCTATCGAAGGTTGGAAATCATCATGGCTATGCGGACTCTGTTGACTGCCGCTCTAAAAAGTTCTGCACTACTGCATTCAAACCATCCTTTCACTGTCTCATTCATTTCTTAAGGATATTCTTCGTACTAGCTTTCATGTTTTTCTCATTATTTTTACATTATATTTACGAGTAAACTCTTTTAAATTGTTTTCTTGTGCCGTTAATTTTTCTGTAAAATTTTTCCGAGTCGTCCTTGTTTCTAAAGCTTTCCAACTCACTTAACATTTCAGTCTTCTATTTCCTTTTATTTTTCTTGTGAAAATAGTTTTCGTCTCTTCTAAGCTCCTTATAAGATTTAACAGTTGCTCGTATTTTCCTTTCTTCCATGAACATTTATGATTTTTTGTAGTAACTTCGTCGCATTTAGTCGTAACCCAACCGATGTGTCTTTCATAATCTTGTCTTCCTAGTATTTTATGGACTATCTAAGATGGTTATTAGCTTCTTGATCCGCTGCCGGTATGTTTCGGCCATTTGTTTATCTTTTAGGAGATGCATTCTGAATCACTCAGGTTTTTCGCCCCTCATGTTCTTTGCACGTGATAATCTTGCTTGTTTTGTTTGGTTTCTAGATAGTGGACTACTGGGTTAGGGAAGACTGCTATCTATGAGAATAATGTCAATTTGATTCTGTCGTTTCCATCCGGCTATGTCCGTGTCACTTTGTATGTTGCTATATGGGGGAAATTATTATTTTACGATATTGTAAAGCATAACCGGAATATTTGAAACGAAAAAGACTTTTTGCGGTTACTTCCCTTACTTGAGGTTGGTTATCATCGTCGCTATTCGTATTTTATTGGAAGCTTCTCTAAAAACGACTTCTTCTTCGGGTGCATTGTGCAAAGTTGCATGTCGACGATCAAATACCAAATTCTTTTCTATAGTCGTAGGATGACCAGAACACCCTCTTCGACCTTCACATACAGTAGCGGCGTCTAGTATTCCACACCAGTCGCTTACATGTTTTAGCTAGAAATGTTTATTTCTACCACTAACTCGTTTTTCCTCAATTTTTCCTTGTAATATTAGTTTTGGTATCGGGCATCGGAGTCTCCTTGACATATCATAGGTGAAATATTTTACGATGTTTTATCGAATTTAATAATTTTCTTTTTACACCTTTCTTCATAAGACTTTATCATTTATAAGGTGAGTAGTCCACGGAATATCCATCAGCCGAAGAAGGGTCCACAGCTTGAAGGTTTCGATCCCATTCAGTCTTCACTTTACGTGACCAATATTCAACTCTAGGTCAACAATAGGTATCATATAATTTTTGAGAATATGTATTCTGATACTTAATGGAAAAGGGAACATAGAAGATTCTTATTTAAAAAAAAACGTTGTTTTGACACGGTCTGTCCGCGCTTTTAGGCTTTATTTTCGTAAGGAAACGCTTATAAGGAAACCCTAAGTACACCATTAAGTTTGTCTTGGCAATATTAAAGTGAAACCCGAACCGTTCATCGGATTCGTTAATTTTATTCATAATTGCTAGGTCTTCAATGTTATTAGCTATTATATAGTCTTCAATGTTATTAGCTATTATTGTGGTATCGTCTGTTTAACGGATGTTATCTTGATACCTTGTGTTTAATTTTGTAAAGCTAGTTGAAATATTGATGAGATTGTATTTATCACTGTCGGACTTTACTTAACATCTCGAAAATGTCGGTTAAAAGATCATTGTTAATACAGATTTCTGCCGGTTGGGTCCAATAAGTTCTTTTATTATGCTTATATCCTTATCACCAATATCGATTTCCTATAATCGCTCTAAAATCGAGTCATGCCTATCATTATCAATGGCTTTTTTTATTCAACGAAGCATATAAAAATATCAAGCCACTGATCATAGCACTTTCGTATTAGCCACTTTATAAAGAAAGTAGTGCTTTCCTAGTACCAAGCTTTATGATAAATTCCTACTCATGTGATTGTGTTTTTTGTATATTGAATGGATTGATTGCCCTCAGAAATGTTTTGTTGTTGTTTTCAATTTAATTCATTGATGTGGCGATAACAGTTGATTTTAACCAATCCGATGGGATTTGTCCAGAGTCGTATATTACATTTAAAAATTACGGAAGTTGTTTAGTTAGTATCGACCTATTTTAAAATTTTTGTTTAACCTTTGTCATGACCTGGACTTTTACCGTTTTTGGATCGAATTACTGCATGCTTAACTTCACATTTAAGAATTTTTTACCACTCAATTGTTACTTGTTCATATAATTATTTACACGTTGGTCATTAAAAAGGTAATAATTTTGTTAAAAACGATATGATACAATTTTTAACGAAATTATTATATAATTTTTTCTTTGAGAACGATTTCCGGAGTGGAAACCGAAACGTCAATTTTTGTATAAAATATACATAATTGTTTGCTCTTTGTTTTTGCCGTCCGCGTGCGGTGCACCAACTGCATACCTGCTATGATCAGCCTTTTCTCCTTTGTTGGAGGTAAATTATTATAAACAAATTAAAGGTATATTTACTTTCCATTTTTTTAAATTCCTGTTTTCTTTTTCTAAAATAATATAGCATAATCAGCATTCTATTTTTAATCTAATAATAGGTTTTACCAATATTTTCTACAGCTGTGCTGTACTTGGTTTCATTTTTTATTTAACAAAGCATTGCGGTCGAAGTAGAATATTTTTAGTTTATTTATCAAAAGCTTTTAACCACCGTTAGGAATGGAAAA